TGGTTGTTTACTGTATTTACATTTTATACATTCCGTACCTAAAGATGAGAATTAAATCAAACCAAAACAAAAATTACAAGTAAAAAAAGGGCACTGAATGAGAGCTTAACACTAATGGAAGATACCACAAAGCAATGGGTAATTCTGAATATAATTTATAAAACTACAAAAAAGTAAAAGTAGCATAAACAAAAAAGTCCATAGCATTATTAAAGCCATACTAGTGAAAAAGTTTAAACTACAAATGAATGTAAACATATGAAAATATGTTTACCCTTACTGTTAATCATATGCAAACTAAAAGAACTATCAGTTAAGAAGTGATGACACCAAGTATTGATAAGGATATGGTGAGACCAACAATCTCCTACAGGATTGGTAGGAATGAATGTTGCTGTAAGTTACCTGAAAGAAAGTTAATAGATATTACCAAGTGCACCGAAAATGTTCACTTGTGTAAACAATAATTTGATTTCTTGGCATGAATTTAAAGAAAATAATCTGAACTACTGCACAAAAATTTTTATTAAGAAAAACCTGGAAATAATCTAAATATTCAAAAAAGGGTTACCTAAACTAAAAGATAAAAAAGATCTTTTATTTATAGACCTAAACATTAAATGGCAATATACAATGTGGTTTACATTAATAAAGATGGGGAAATAACATCATGTAACATATAAGTTATATACAGAGTACTCTTTTAAGTCTATTTTCTTTTTCTTCTTTTTGACTTTTATTTTGTCTGCTTTCTTAAATGTATACAAAAAAGACTGGAAAAAATCTATCCATCAATCCACTGTAAGTAGAGTTACCTCTAGAGGGCAAACTTAAGGGGGCTTCTTCAGGCTTTTTGATATCAACCAAATTCATGTAAATGAATCCAAACATTTATAAAGTCAGACAACAAACCTAAAATGACAAACCACAAATCTCTCAATGGCTCTCTACACTCAATGAAGTACAAATACATCACTTGTGTGTCCAAGGCACTCTACACTATATTTCCAGTGGTTTTAGCCATGTGTGATTTCTCTCCTTAAGGCTTATCAAAGTGGACTTTCTACCACTTCCCGAACATGTTCCATACATTTTCACCTCAGGACCTGGGCTCAGACTATTTGACCCACCTGGATCACCTTCTTTACCTGGCCAAGTTCCACCATGTTCCCAAGTTCATGATAAATTCCATCTGGGTTAGTCAGCTTTCTGTCACTACACCAAACACTTGAGACAAACAACTTATACACAAAAAGGTTACTTTGGCTCATAGTTTTGGAGGTTCCAGTCCATGACCAGTTGGTCTGGTTGCCTTTGGGCCTGTGGTGAAGCAGCATGTCATGGCTGGAGCATGTGCCAGGACAAAATTGCTTACTTCATAGCCAGAGAGCAATAAGAAGAGGAAAGGAGTGGAGCCTCACAGTTCCTTTCAGGGGCACCATCCCCCAAAACCTAAAGCTCTCCCACTAGGTCCCACCTCCTAGAGGGTCCAATACCTCCAAATAGCACCACGCTGGGGAGCAAACCTTTATAGTTTGGAAGCTATCCAAACCATAGCACCACCTGTTCTATGAAGTTTCTTCTAACCATGCTCATGCAATCACCAACTAGTAGTAATTTCTCCTTGTCTTTGACTCTTACAGGAAACATTTTTGCACTCTTATTACTCTTAATACAATTTGCCTTAAATGTAATAGTTATCTCTGTTTTAATACCTTTTTCAAATTGTAGTAGTTCACAAAGGGGCTCTAATCCCTTTTCAGCTCTTTCTCTAATACTGACACACTGCCTCCCAGAATTAAGCATATAATGAACACTCAAAGAACTGAATAAATTATTGCCACAAGAGATTAATCTCTTGTCTTACGTACAAAGAGAAAGAAGAAAGAATGGGAAGTGTCTCTCATTCGCGACTCAGCATGGGATTTCCCATAGTAACAATGAGAAAAAAGTATTATAATTATGGACCTCTGTTTTATTCTTTTGCCAGCTAAAAATCTATCCATAATTTGCAACAATTTCTATGGGTACAAAAATGTGCTTGGATTTCCCAAGAATCTACCGCCAAAAGAGTTTTTGGAGTACAGTCAGTGCTTGAATTTGCAGATAATAAACATTTTTCTTTAGGAAAAACATCATGTTTGCTTAAGTTTGCCTTAAGCCCCTTATGAAACAAAACATTATTAATGACGAGAGACTTTGTGACGAAGAAGTAAAGTGAATGTTCTAAGCACCAAAGTTAATCTCTAGAAAGCAACCTTAAAAGAACACGGATAAATTAAAAATTCTTTTTAACCACAGTCCAATTCCACCTTTATCAGATGTTATATTTCAGGAAATAATGGAAGCTTTTAGGTGAGAAAGTCTTTTCAGGTTTCTATTTTCCTTTCCCACAGAAGTATCTATTGTTTGCAAATGCTACGTAGATAACCCACACACAAACTGACAGCCAAGTGTGTACATTTAAGGACAAAACCCTCTTCTACTTAATGCCATATACAGTGCTTTCCTTTGAAATAATGCTTGTTTTTATATTGTAAGGCTGCTCTTTGCCAGATTTTGGTGGGAAAGGGAAGCCAGTTAGGACAGTTCTTACCTTGGAATTAAACTAACCTTCCAATGCATATATTTAAATACTGCTATACTCGTGCTAGGTGTTCAGAGATATGTAAGATACACAAGGCTTTTGCCCTCAAATTCTACAGGTTGTTATGGAATTCATGTATTATCTAGTGGAGGAAATGAACAATAAACAAACACATGAACAATAAACAATAAAGAAACACATGAACAAGACAATTACAGATTATGGTAACAGTTGTAAGGGAGGGGAAATAAGCAGCACAGAAAAGATACTTAATGATCAGTGAAGGCCTTTTAGATACATTTAAACCTTGAAAAGACAAAAAAGGACCCAGCTATGCACAATCACTGGGGGAAAAGCCATCCAGGCTGACAGAAGAAGTGGAAAGTGCCCAAGACAAAACAGATTCGTTTTGTTTGAAGAACACAAATGAGGCAGTGTAGTCATGTTTTTCAAACTGTGGGTCATGTTTTAGATTGTGGTATCAATTTTGTGTGACACTGTATTTTTAAAAGGAAGTTAAACATTAGAGTCACATGTTTTCAGAATAAGCACTCTTAATGAACTTTTGCTTCAGTTATGTGAGTGTGCACGTGTGTATTGGGTTGCAATGCATAATATGTTTCTTAATGTAGGGAGTAATCCAATCTGTATTAAGCAAGGAGAACAGGTAACAGGTAAGGATGGAGGGGTGGGCAAGAGTAAGATCATATGTGACGTTGTATTGTAGGCCACAATGAAAAATTGGGATTTTATTCTAAATACAGTGGAAATGCAATGAAAGTTTTTCAAGTGGGAAGTGACATGATCTAATTTTCATCATGGTGTTGCCAAAAGATTATTATAGTGAAATCCAGAAGGCCTGAGCACTGCGAGGCCTGGCCATGTCACTGACACCAGGGATTTAGAGAAAAATTGCTTAATGCCTCTATACTTCATTTTCCTCATTTTAAAAATGAGAAGGTTGAACTAAGGTGGCCTTTAGGACCTTTCTTATTGCTAAATTTCTGCCTATTTTCTGCTTCCTCCTTTGGGCACAAGTAACTGACTATTGCAGGGCGAGCCATTCATTAGGTCTAGTTTTGAGTTACTTTTTAAACATTATAAATCAGATAACTATGAGCTATATTTCTATAGAAAACAATTTTAGAATTACCTCTGTACAAGAATTAATTATGTTATTAGAAATGAGGTATCTGGGCTAAAAGGGAATCAAATGCTTTCTCTGGTGCAAAGTTTGGAGTGTGAAGAAAACTGGCAAGGAAGCATAAAAAGATTTACTGACCAGGCTATTTGGAGATTTCCTTATTTGTTCTAGGTCATGAACTGATACATAATCTAGGCCACTTTAAAGTTGCAGGAAACTTCTATTGAACAATAATGTCAAGATGAGGACGCTTAACTCCTTTCACAGAAACCAAAATGACTACTGAGGGAAAATATTCATTGAGAACCTAGGATATGTTAAGCCCATACTAGACAACTTGATATATGCTTCCTTATTTAATTCTCCTAACCTTATTTGCATTTCAAAGTTATGGAAACAGGGGCTTGGAATAGATAAGAAGCTATTTAGTAGCAAGAGAAGGGTTAGGATCAGTCTTAAAGCAGGCAACAAATACATATGTTATAAACTTCACATTGATGACAACTTATTCTGCATGTTTTAAAAATTACTGTACAAGTATTAAATCATCAGTTAAGTACCTAACAACTCAAGTATCTTTGACATCTGGACAAAGAATGCTCAACCAGGGGCTGGTGGAATGGCTCAAGAGGTATGAGTGCCTGCCTAGCAAGTGTGAGGCCGAGTGAGTTCAAACCCCAGTGCCGCCAAAAAAAAACCTAATAATAATAATGCTCAACCAGTAAATCAATTGTAGACACATAGGTACTTTGCTAGGTAGGTATAGTGTGAGTGAAAGACAAGTTGTTCTAGCATTGGAAGGCCTACACTGTGGGTAGCATTTTGGGTTGCATGAAGTGTAATTAGGCAAAATATAAAAGGAATTGGCATATCCAATTAACTACACATAAATAGTACTTATAGCAGTTTTCAGGTTCATTTTCTCGATTTTTGCTGAAGAAAAGCTAGCACAGGAACCATGGAATGGACTGTGTCGTGGGCCTAAAAAGTCTCATGCAAGTTCCATAAACACGAGTAGATAGATTGTAGAAACTGGCCGATTTCTAACTTACATTAACTCTTTAAAGGAAGTGTCGGACACACCATCTGCTCACTTGGAGCAGAGTACACAGCATGTTATGGAGGAAAACCTTTGAAATGTGCAGAGCATCGTTCCTGTGAGGGCATAAAGGGTCCCCAACGCCTCCCAAAGAGGCACCTACAAACGCCCTAGCAAAGTTGGTGATGCTCATCGCAAACCTTTCTCAACCACAAGAACGCAGCGCTCACCTGTCACATACTCAGCTTCGAATCTCCGTCGAGTCTCGGATATGAGCTTGGCTTTATTCTGAGCGTGATTCTGGATAGGAGACACAACAGGATCTTACATACTCATCGTCATCACCCAGTTTACCCTCCGCCCAGCCCACCTGCACCTCGTCGCGCGGGCCCTGGGCCTAGGTGGCGGTTTCCGAGTCCTGGGGGCCAGCAGTGATACACTGCATTCCTCACCTCAGCCATGATCGCAGTCGTGGATGTGATTGCAGTTGTCCTAGCCGTCGCCCCTTCCACCACCGACACCCGAGTGTCTCATCACCCACCAGCCCCGCCCAGAGGTAGACAGAGAAGGGAGGGAGGGGAAGGCGGTCGCGTGACACTCGAAGGCAGAAGGAAGTACAACAGCAGGGTCCAATCCGAGGCGGCCGCCTGGGCTTGAAGGCGAGACTAGGCTCTCAGCTTGGGTCCCATTCGCTTGTCGATGGGGCCCCGCCCTCCAAGGTACCTCTCCACCCCCCCGCTCTGCGGTCCCGCCCCCGCCAGCAGTGAGATCGCCGAGCGCTTCCCCATTGAGCTCCGCCCTACAGGGCTCGGTCGGCCATTCCTTTCACAACACCCAGGGTGTGGGGTTCTGCTCGCTCAGCTTCCCTTGGCAGCCAGCATCTGGCCCGCTCCGTAGGCTCCGCCTCCTCCGCGCAGGAGCCTCCGGGCGGGGGAGTCTCCCAAGATGCACCGCGGTGGCGGGAAGTTTGGAGTCCCGGAACGCTGGACCTGGGTGGGGTTTCCGGAACGTGGCTACTTTGGCCCAGGTAGGGCGTTGGGGGTGGGGGTGGGGTGCGTCCTTGCTGGTGGACCTTTGCGGAGGGAGCGGTCGGGCTGGACTGCATTCCTTGTCCCCTCATTACGGGACAGCGGGAAACTGTCGGTCCCGGGGCCCGGATCTGTCATTCTGTGGAATAATTAAGTTTTAAGTGCTTACTACATTTGGGGATTATTTCTCTTGAGATTTTCTTCCTCCCTTCAACATCCTTTGCATTTGGAGTGTGAGATGCTTAAAAGGAACATGTCTTTGAAATCTTTAGACTCAAAATAACAACGAAAAGCGTCTTTCGGTTTAATTAAGGTAGTTGCTCTCAAGCGGGTATGTAGGGGGTGGGGGAGGGAGAAGGAGGAGGGTTCCCAGGGAACATTTGGCATTTTCTAGAGTTATTTGTGGTTGTCACAGCTTGGGGAAGAGGGTGCTTCTGGTTTCTAGTGGGTAGAAGTCAGATGCTTCCAAACATCCTGCTCTTCACAGGACCACCCACAACAGTGCAAAATATCAACAGTGCCAAGATAGATTAAAAAAAAAAAGATACCAAAAAATCACAAAGAAGTTGTAACAACAGTCTTCATATGTTTACCATCCATAGTCAGTCATGGTAATATGACACTTTAGTATCATTTACTCCAGACTCTTTTTATGTGTTTACAATTTTATGGGAACAAATTGAACACATTGTTTAAAATTTGTTTAACTACATCTTGAAATATTTAAGTTCTAACTAATGTCTCCCTCTGTGTCCACTCCACTACCCTGAGATCCATCGCCTTGTCTAGAATCAGCAGTCATTCAGTATTTGACATAAAGTTTTTACAGTTTTACCTATTTATTTTGAACTAGACTGCCTGGGTTTGAAACTTGATTCTGGCATTTCTTATCTGTAAGCCTTCCAGAAAATCCTGAAACTCCGTGCCTCGGTTTCCCCATCTTTATAATGGGATCTTAGTAGTGCCTATGGTATAAGGATGTCATGAACAATAAATGATTAAACCAAAGTGCTTAGAAAAGTACCTGGCACTATTCCTTGAGAAAGCACTCAGGGAATGTAGCCATTGTAAGTAAACAGAAAATATATAATGCTGTTTTATGTGTTTTAATTTATGTAAATAATTTTAACTTCATTTATTTTTGAAATCTAGCCATGATGGCATATGTAGATCTAATACATTCGTTTTGGCTACTGAATGACATTCCATCTGTATTTATTCATTCTCCTCTTGGTGGTCATTGAAGTTTTTACTTTTTTTTATGTTGCAAGCAATAGGGCAGTGAATATCCTAGAGCCATGTCCTTGAGTGTATGTGGGACTATTTTTCTGGGTTCATGTCTAGAAATGAAATTCCTGAATATATGCATTTCAGTTTATTTCTTGATTACCTTCCAAAGTTATTTCTCCAATTAAGTACTCATAATTATCTCCTAATAGTTAGCTTTGTTTCCAGACTCATCTGAGGTCCACTAGGATCTTTATAATGCAGGAGTACAATTTTGTGATTTCTATTTTTGAAATCTTTCAATGGATTATCATTGCTTATAGGAGAAAGAAGTTCTTAGTGTAATATAGAAAATCTTTAACTTAATTTTACCTAATTCTCTTAGTATATAACCATTCCCCCACATTCACTGACATTTCAGCTATATTGGATAATATGGAAGAGGCAAGATCAATTCTAGGTAGACTCCTAAGAAACACCTTCTACTTAGTAGGGAGAAAAAAGTTTTAGTGTGGACCTATTCTGTAGCCAGGATAATTTACCTAAGTCTACAACATAATATACAGTGAAAAAAAGGACATCAGTATTGTGTTCATAAGTATATGTTCAGAATTATTAGGCACAATTTTTAGTTGGGCATCTTAATTCTACCTTTTTTTCTCAAAGATACATTTTCTTGGTCATGATTGATGTGGTTTCTTACAGACATTTTTGAATTTCATCTGCACATTTATAGTGCTCTTCTAGGATCTTACTGAGCCACACTGAAAGTTTATTTAAAGAGTTTTGAAATATAAAGTACCAAAATTAATCTTTAACCATTTAAAGGGAATACCATGTTTACTGGGGGGGTAGTGGAGAAGAATGGATAAGAGTAATATTTATTGCCAACCTACTATATTTATGTTAGCATAGGTTAGTCATCACCCAGTATCCCTGGGGTATTGGTTCCAGGAACTCTCATAGATATCAAAATCTGTGGATGCCCAAGTTCTTTATATAAAATGGCATAATATTCACATAGAGTTTACAATCCACCCGTGTATTTTAAGTCATCTCTGGATTACTTATCCCTAACATGAATATAAATGCTATGCAAATAGTTATTATACTGTATATAGGGAATAATGACAAGAAAAACAAGCATGCCTGTTTAGTACAAATGCAGTTGTTTTTCCTGAATATTTTCTGTCAATGGCTGGTTGAATCCACTGATGCAGAACTCATGGATGTGGAAGGCTGAGTGTACATACAAGTATGCCATTTTGTGTAATGCATTTGAACTCTCAAAGGACTGAGTATCCACTTGCAGGAGGGGAGGGGGGAACCTAGAACCAATCCCCCATAGATACAGTGGGACAACTGTACTCTTAAGATTTAGCAGCTTGCAACAGCATACATTCATTATCTTACAATTTCTGGGCATCAAGAATTTGGGAATAGTTTAGCTTGGTGATTCTGGTTCAGGGGCTTGCCCTGGGGCTCCAGGACAGATTCTGAGAAGGCTCACAGAAGGCCTCAGTCCTTTGCTGGTTTTTGGTATGAAGTCATAGTTCCTTGCTATATGTACAATCAATGGAGCTGCCTAAGTGTCTTAATGGTATGGCAGGTGGCTGCCCCCAGTGCAAGTGATCTAATGAAGAAGTAGAAGGAAGCCACAGTGTTCTTTATGACCTGGGCTTGGAAGTCACAGTTACTTTTGCCATATTCTGTTGACCAGAAGCTAATTGCAATGTCCAGTCCTCAAAGGGAGAACAATTAAGTGCCACTTCTTTTCTTCGTTTTTCCTTTTTTTGAGATAGGGTCTTGCTATGTAGCCCAGGCTGTCCTGGGTTTATGATCCTCTTGCCTCAGCCTGCTGAGTGCTGGGATTATAGGTGTGTGGCATCATGCCCAATTTAAGTGATGGAAAGAGTATCAGATAATATGTGAATATATTTTAGGCTCACAAGTGATGTATTTGGATATTAGACAATAAGATGTGACATCTCTAACTTGAAAGTAAGTGCTAATTTAATCTGATGTTAAGTAGAATTGCCACTGTAAACTAAAGTCCTTGTAAAGTGCAGGCCAAATTAACTTAACTTTGTAGATTATGGCATTTTTCTAATTGGACAACTAATAGATACTTGTATTCTTAAGTATGAAACTATTCTTTCGATGTGTCTAAGGGTAGATACTATATGAGTCAGCTGGCCATCATGTTGACGATTACAATGTCAAAAATGTAGCAGCTATCATATATTTAGTATAGTAATCCCCCTTGTCCACAGAGGGTATGTTCCAAGAGCCATAGAGGATGCCTGAAACCACAGGTGGTACTCAGCCCCATATATAGTGTGTTTATTCTATATGCTAAGCAGCTTGGCCATATACTACCAGGGTTAACCTGTCCTCCCTTGTTTTATGCCCTGGTACCTCCCTTAGATCACTGCTCTTGAGCTTTGAGGCTGTTATTAAGTAAAATAAGTGTTATGAATGGAAGTGTTTGAATACTGTTGACAACCCATCTTATAACTGAGGCATCTATCTTGTGACTAACCAGAGAGAAATATATACAGCATAGGTACACAGGCCGAAGGGATGACTCACATTCCATCCTGAATGGGAAAGAGTCAGAACAGTGTACAATTTCATCACCCTACTCAGAACAGGGCACAATTTAATACTTATGAGTTGTTTTTGGAATTTTCTGTTTAATGTTTTCAGGCCACAGTCAACTATGGATAATTAAATTGTAAAACTGTTGATGGGGGGCTGCGGTACTTCCTATGTGACAGGCTGTATTGCCAGTGCTTTATATTATCTAGTCCTAGTATCTTGTGATGCAGGTACATTGTTCCACTCCATTATATAGATGTGGACATGCAGAATAAGGAGTAAGTAACTTGCCTAAAGTCACATATCTAATAAAAGGTAGACCCAACATTCCTATTGACTAAGTGCACTCTGCTTGGCACATGGTAAGCTTTCAGCAGTGCTCCTAAATACTTAAAGGAGTGGTTCAGTATGTACAGCCACTGAATAGAGAGAACAGCATCTTTCATTGTGTGTATACTCAATTTATAGGGTGTTCTTTTGATTTTTATTCTAGTTTAGCAATTCTCTCAAGTTGCCTTTCCTAAACCAGTTTATTTGGAGTAAGGAAATGCATGCCAGTGTGGTGTTTAAAAGTGTAGCTCAGGAAGGAGAGGGCCAAATCTAGCACGGTTGTTGATTCGTATTTTAAGTGTGGATTATTGTTACAACCTTGGTAAATTTTCTTAACCTTTGTTAAAATAAGGTTTTTACATTTAAAAGACAATAAGAATACTTATTTTAAGAGAATAATGCATGTATTGCACCTGGCAGGTAGTTAAGCATGAATGATTGATTGCTATTATTCAATTCTTCTATTCGTTATAATTTTCCTCTCCTTAGGTCATAAAATGCATTGTTTGTAAAGTAAGATTTATGTCTATTACTCCCATAGAGATATTAAGCTTTGTTTTAGCATCTCCTATTTTTATTTCTAGGGTTTTATTTTTGTCACAGAGCCTCTACAAGCTTTTGTCTCCAGGAAGCAGAAGCCAAAATGTCTGGATTGTAGGAGCAGTCTAATTCCAAAAATCACTGTATGTGGAGAAGAGTCTGAACTTTAGGACAAGTAAATCATGGATTTAACTGAATTGTCATTCTACAGGGTCTAAGGTGAAACCATGTTAGAGTTGGTAAGTTTGAAACAGAAAGAAGTACAGTCCATAAGAAATTCCCTGAACCAGAATGAATATCTGAAGTCACTTTCAGGCTGGCCTGGAACATACTACATAGTTCAAGCTGGCTTTGAAATCGCAATCCTCCTGCCTCTGCCTCCCAAGTGCTGGGATTATAAGTATGCACCCCACATCTGGCCTGAAATCACTTTTATAAAACATTTAAAGCTTTAAATATGTGCTGTTAACACATTTGGGTATCTTTTTTATATTTAGTTATTCACATTGTTAGCAACATACTTTTCAGGAGATGTACAGAAATAATATTTAAAATATATTTCTTTTTTTTTTTGGTGGTACTAGGGTTTGAACTTACAGCTTCACACTTGGTAGGCAGGCGTTCTACTCCTTGAGCTACTCCTTCAGCCCTTTTTGTGTTGAGTACTTTTGAGATAGGGTCTTGCAAACTATTTGCCCGGGCTAGCTTCGAACAATTATCCTCCTGATCTCTGCCTCCTGAGTAGCTAGGATTACAGGCATGAGCCAGGTGCCTGGCTGGAAATATATTTCTTTTTTCTATAAGAGTGACATTGTTGCTGGGTGTGGATACTTGTAATTGTGAATGCAAGGCCAGTGTAGGCCTACCTCAAAAAAGAAATGAAAAAAGAAACATTGTCACAATAGTATAAAAAGCTTGAAAATGTTTACTTATTTAGTGTTACCTGTGTGTTAGTTCTCTGATAGAAAAACGTATTTTCTTTTCAATTCTGCCTACTTCACGACAGTTTTCTCATTTATTTTTTAGGATTAAAAGCATCAACTGAAATCAGTTTGCATTTGAAAATTGGGATCAACACAAAGACTGGACATTGTGGAATAACAAGCAAACAAGCAATGTCATTTAATGATCAAGAAAGACTCTTGTGTTATAATGGGGAGGTCCTTGTTTTCCAGTTGTCTAAAGGAAATTTTGCCGATAAAATGCCTGCAAAGACATCCATATTACATGTCAGAAGAATGGTATTTGATAGAGGAACAAGAAAATTTGTTTTGAAGTCTACTGGAGTCTTTAGTTTAGAGGAGGAAAGCTCTTGTTTAAAACTTACGTGTTGCAACTGTGTGTCAGATTACAGAACTGGAATTAATCTCCCTTGCATTTTGATACAATGCACAAAAGCTAATAATGTTTTCAAATATTATTTGCTGCTTCTTCACAGCACTAATAAATTTGAAAAGTGTTTGACTTTTAAACTAGACTATGAGTTGAAGGACAGCATAAGGGTCCTTAATGGCCCTTTAGTTTTATGGCAATATGTAAAAACATTCTTCTGTATCTCTTCCCAAACTGGCAAAATCATTAGTGTGTCAGTTAACTTTTCCTCTATTGAGTGGGCAGGTGAGATTGAAAATCTAGGTATAGTTTTATTGGGACTAACAGAATTTTATTTACCACAGAAAGAATGTACCCCAAAGCTTTCAATATCAGATTATGAAATTTGGAATACCAAATTTTGTATATATTCTCTTGAAAGTCAAGAAATATTAAGTGATACATACATTATCCCTCCGGCTTATAGTAATTTGATAGCTTATGTGCATGTCTGTGCAACTGAGATTGTCAACAACCAGTTAAGGATGTCTCTGCTAGCCCTCACTCAAAAAAATCAGCTCATTTCATTCCAAAATGGAACTCCTAAAAGAGTATGCCAGCTTCCATTTGGAGATCCTTATGCAGTTCAACTTCTGGATTCAGTTGAAGGAAATATTTTTTTCATTGTGTCATTTAGGTCCAGTGAAGCTTGTGCTGTTTGGAGAAAGAACTTTCAGGTACAGTGTTTAACCTCGTAATAATTCAGTTGGTGGTCTTAGACTTTTTGTTTGTTTGTTTTGGTTTTCGTTTTTGAAATAGTGTCTTAGACTAGGGCTGTGACTCAAGTAGTAGAATGGTTGGCCCTGAGTTCAAGCCTCAGTACCACCAAAAAATAATGTGGGTTTGAAACGGGTTCTTTCTATGTTGCCCAGGCTGGCCCGGAACCCTCTGTGTGCCCCAGACTGGCCTCAAATTTATGATCCTCTTGCCTCAGCCTCCCAAGTGCTGGGATTATAGGTGTTAGCTATCATGCCTGCCTGTTCTTAGACCTTTTAAGCATTCCTATGCTTCATCATGGCATTTTATTCTCCAAGTTAATTTTTGGTGCTGCTACTGAAATTACATATATTACATTGCTCCTTTTTTCTTGGAGTTATCTGAATACTACCTGATAATGGTTTTTTGCTCTTACTATTTTGAGTTATAAAACCTTTGAGGTTGGAAATACATGAACAAATCTGTATCCAGAATGATTATATATTTATTTGTCTTTTAATGTAAATATTTTAACTTTTATTAATGAAATCATGCCAGAAAATCTATGTTAAGGGAGGTATAGGAATTACATTTGAGCAATTATATTTAGCTTACTAGTTAAGATAAAACAGTAAATATGCCAGGTTTTATAATCAAATGAACCATACTACAAGGGAATTTTTTTTTCTATCATTGAGTTCTGAGGGGACTTGTGAGAAGTTTGGGATAATAAAATGAATATCTTACTAAATAATAAACGCTGTCTATTTTGTCTATTTTGTTTGGGGGCATTTTTGCCCCCAAACAAAAGGTAACAGAAGCAAGCTTTCTTTGTAATGGCTACGAATCCATCTACCTATCCTTTTACTACCTCATTCCAAGAATGAATTAAGGCAGCTTGCAAAGACAAGTAAAATACAAACAAGTATGACTCAGAGTCAATAATGAAAATCAAGGTCAGTGTGCTCCCAGATCAGCCCTTCTTAAAAGTCCCAGGTGTATGTTTGATTCAGTGATCAGACTTAAAAACCAGAGCTGAGACTAGAGAAATACACAATTAATTTTTCTTTTCTTAGGATTTCTCAAGTAGAAATTGTCTCTGTGAGTTTTGACAAGAATCTATGTAGCAGGCATTTCAAAATTGAAGTCATTGTCAGGTATACCTGAATTTAGATACTGGTATGCATCAATAGTAAAAGGTTAATATATTCTACAGATGTGCTTTCTAATGTGATAGCCACTAGCCATATGTGGTTATTCAGTATTTGAATTGTGACTGATCTGAATTAAACTGTGTTACAAATATCAAATGTAGTTGAGATTTCATAGTCTGGCATGTTGGTATACATCTATAATCCCAGCACTTGGTAGTTTGAGGCAGGAGGATTATGAGTTAGAGGCTAGCCTCGGGCACATAGCAAGACCCTGTCTCAAAAAAGGAAGCAAGAGAGAGAGAGAGAGAGAGAGAGAGAGAGAGAGAGAGAAAGAGAGAAAGAAAAGAAAGAAAAGAGAATACCTAATAATACATAAATAAAATATTTTAAATTTCAGATTATATTGAATTGGTAATATTTTGGAAATACTGTGTTAAATATAGTCGGCCCTCCTGTATTCAACTGTTCTGCATCCACAGATTGTACCAAACGCAGATTTAAAATATTCAAAAACAATTAGGTCTGTACTAAGCACGTGCAGACATTTTTTTCTCATCCTTCTTCTCTAACCAGTACAGTATAACCACTATTACATAGGACTTACATTGTATTGGATATAAATAATCTACAGATGATTTATATAAGCGACTTGAGCATCCACAGCATTTGGAGCGTTCAGGGGAACCAATCCTCCACTTATATTGAGGGATGACTATATATTAAAATTAATTTCACCTTTTTGTTGCCACTAGAAAGATTAAAATTATGTACGTGCTGTGCTTTTGTGACTCATCTGTATTTGTGTTGGGTAACATCATTCTCAAGGTATAGATTACAAATGTGTGTGCACACATGTGCACAGCTCTGTGATGTTCGCATACCAAGCATATTCTTACTATTAATGTTTCCTCCCATAGCTCATTACATTCCATTATAATTGTGGGGGAGTCTATGGGTTTGCAATAAGCTGCCTTCCTGCATAAGTGAAGAATTGTAGCTTTAGAAATTAGCCCTATAGAGGCAAGATTGATATTTTGTTATGCAGATTAAAGAGCCTTATTTATGTTCTTGCCCTAATACAAGCCACTGTCCTGTATCATCTAGATGATATAATATCTGTACTCCTGCGATTCTGAGTGGGAATTTTAGCTTCTCTGCTTCAAGGAGGAGAATCTGATCCTTATAGTGTTAATTTTCCAAGGAATCAATCTGGAGGCTTTTGGCTTTATGGACTTTTAAGAAGTTTTCTAGTTTAAACTAGGCATCTTCCTTTCTGGTATAAACTTGCCAGATTATTCCACTAAACTAAGATGCTCCTAGGCGTCCCACTGTTAGAATCCCTCACCTTCTGCATCTCTTATAATAGCCATGCCATCTGCCACCTCCACCAGGGTTTAAGCTATTAAGTTCATCTTGATACAGTTATAGGTTATTCTGCTTTGAGAGCTTTTAAAGTGTGTACTGGTACCTTCTAGTTACCTAATGCAACTGAATTCCTTCCCTAATTGGTCTGATCATAACCAACATCTCCACTAAGGCTTATGGGATTGAGGGTCATCCTTAAATTAACCATGCTAAAGAAGGGCTCTTCACTAGAATTTTACTCATGATAAATGTTAGAGTCTCCAAAAGCTTTAGTTATGAAAAGAGTGAGAATGTATAAACAGATTATAAGATTTTAATATAGAATTAGGAATGTGATAGTCCCTAGAAAACACTAATAATAAAGTAGTAAATCTAAGTATCTTGCTATCAGTAAATTTATTATAGTTCCTTGTATTTTCTGATCCTCCAGTGTATTTATTTTAGTTTAGTTTTTACACTACCGTTTTCATTACTCATTTGTAAGTTTGAGGATAACAAATTACAACTATATGAAACAAAAGGATTTATTCACTTGTTTCACATCTGATTTCTTTCCTTCTTTATTCCTTTAATACGCTTTTTCTCTCAGGTTGCTGCTAAGTGGGAAAAAGTTAGCTTAGTACTAATAGATGACTTTATTGGAACTGGAAGTGAACAAGCCCTGCTTCTTAAGGAGTCACCAAATTCAGATTGCCTGACTTCATTTCTAATAACTGATCTTGGTGAAATAAACTATTCAGTAAGTTCTATTTATTTATTATATATTATTTTAAGAGCCATTTTAGAAAAATTAAGTACTTAAAAGTTATTGACCCACCATTTAAGTACTTGTGATTTCATATTTAAACTTTAAAATTTCAAAAATATGTAAGTCAAATCTTTAAATATATACATTGAATCTTTCAACAAATGTTAATACAAATTAACTGTGTTCTTAACATAAATTTGGAATATATTGTGTCTAATGGTCACTCAACTGACAGAAATTTGATAAATTATCTTTATTTGCTTCTGAAAAATCGTATTTTACATCGATAAACATGATAATCTGAATTAAAGAATAAGATGAAATGAAACTGGTTTTTATAAGAAGTAACAGTTCAAAATATCTTGAAATCTTGAACACAAAAGAAATTATGCCCCTGAAATTTCAGGTCTATGTAAAATCTTTCCAGTTTTTTTTTCATTTGTAAAATGAAGATAGTTTTTTTTCTCTAGTTAAGGGATTTTAGGGTTAGAAAACTAATGAGCTAATACTTTGTAATGCCATGTACAAATTTTAGGTGGCAATAATAGTAACCGTAGTAATTTTTCTAATTATGAAAAAATGTGCAAAATACATAATTTTGCCTTTAACGGAATAATGTATAACATTGGGAAGTGTCCTTTGTATAAACTGTAATTGTATCTTGTTAACCTTATAAATTTTCAATTTATTTTAAAGCTTCAGTTTTTATTTTATTTCATTAGAGTGAGCCCTTGGATTGTAAGAAAGATGATTTATTTGGAGACCAACATAAGAATCGGTGCTTGGTGATTCCACCTCTGGAAAGAAGAATAAAAGTTAGTGTCTGTATTTCCTTTTCCTTTTTGATTAATGCTATTCAAAATGAAGAAAGAACACTGAAAGAAAGGTGATTAAAGTATAAACAACTCAGTGCTTGGGTAAAAATTATATTTTAAAGAATCTTTACCTCTTTGGCACTCTGTAAGAAATATTACAAAGCCAAGTGTGGCCTGTAACCCCAGGTGAGGCAGGAAGATTACAAGTTCAAGGCTTGCCAGGGATACAGAGCAAGATCCAGTTCAGCCTAGGTTATGTAGGGAGACCCTGTTTTCAAAGAAGAAAGAGAACTATTATGGCATTACTTATAAATATATCATCTAAAATGACACCTTCTGGTAGTAAGATTAGGTAGATTTAGTAAGCCACATAAGAGAAAATATAAGAAGCTGACTTTTGAAATGCATTTTTCTGGTTTATAGGGAGACTGTGCCACAGTATCTTTTCAGAGGGGCAGCAGATATGATTAAATCATAACATGTTCCAGACATGAACAGTGTACTTTTAAGTTTTCTACAAAAATTTCCCTAAAAATGTCAGGCTGGTCGTGTATGCCTGTAATCCCAGCACTTGGGAGACTTAGACAGAAGGATCGAGAATTCAAGGCCAGCCTGAATTACCTAGTAAGTTCCAGGTCAACCTGTGTGACATACCCTGTCTCAAGAAACACCCCAAAAATATTCCCTAAAAAAAGGGTTTTTGTTTTTTCCCAGATGTACCAAGAGTATTGCACGGTATTGGGTTTTATCACTGTGATAGGAAACACTACATAAACAGTTTAAAGGAGGAAGAATTTATGTTGGCTCACAGGTTCAGAGATTGCTGCCCATGGTCAGGTGGCTCCATTGCTCAGGCCCTGAGGCAAGGCAGAATATCATAGCAGTGGGAGTATGAGCAGAGCTAACTCACCTGGTAGCTGGGAAACAGAGAAAGAATGCCTGCATTCTGCCTTTTCCCCTTTTATTTTATCCAGACCCCCCTGCCTATGGCATGTTGCTGCCCACGTTCAGGGTGGGTCTTACCTTCTTTGTTACTAATGTCTGGAAACACCCTCCCAGCCATACTCACAGGTATGCTTTACTAGGCTAGGTATCTCTTGGTCCAGTCAAGTTAATAATCATGATTAGCCATTTCATTGACATTCCTTATAGAATAGTGAGACAATGAAAACAATGTTTTATTTATGAAACAGGACCACATCTCTTGATTTAAGACAACCTGAAATGATAGGTGAAATATTTTTCAAATTTTTCTTCAAAGCTTCATAAAGCCGACAACAGAAGAATAATTATCAAGATAAGCTTTCAAGGCTGAAATCCAGTGAGATAAGCAGAATACTGCTGATCCTTTTGCCCTGGGGTCATGTGTACTGAACCTACAGCAAAATGTTCCAGGTACTAGGTAGAAATAAGCATAAAACCCTCTCTGGAAAACACATTTATCCCAGGCCTTCTTGAAATCTCACAAGTGATTTTTTTTAAAAAGAAAATGAACTACCCACAGAATAATTAAGCAAATAATGAAACAAGGCATCATGAGTAACTATTCACAGAAAATAACCAAGTAGCATTTCTGTCAACTAAAAACACATGGAAATAAAAAACTCAACAGATGCCTTTAATAGTTAACTCCAAGAAATGAAACTGGTGCAGAGCAAATTAGCATGTCAGAAAAATTATTTAGAAGGTAGCATAGAGACAAAGAAGGAAAATGTGAAAAGTTTTAAACAATGTAGGAGTGAATGGAGGTGGGAGGTAAGAGATGATTGAGTGTATTGCTTTAGGTATCCACATGTTAACAGTAGCTGTCAATGTAGATAATAGAGTTCCAAGTGTTGGAAGGCCATTTAGAGATTAACCAGTTTACCTCTCCCCATTTTACACATGAGGAAACAGAGACCTAGAAAGTTTAAATGACTTCTGGAACTAGAGTCCATTGCACTGCATTGTTCTTTCTCCTATGAAATTTGTTTTCTAGTCAGTTATTGCAGGGGAAGCAGGGAGAGCAGGATTTTGGTGAAACTTGGGAATGCTTACAGGGATGTTCATACCAGTATTGTTTGTCTACTCCACCATAATTGGGCATACCCAAATGTCCAGCAGCAGAGTGGAGAAGTAAATTGTGGTAGTCACAGGATGGAATACTGCGGGGCAATAAAAGATCTACAGATACTAGTAACATGGGAAGAGATTCAGAAACAAAACACAGAAAATGAAAATATGCTTTAAGAATGCACAGAAAGATGCTAAAAATATGAAGACAAGCAAGGAAGTTATCTTAAAGGGGCCAGGGTAATATTGCCTCCAGGGGACAAAGGGAGGTTTTTGACTGTGGAGGGCTCACAAGGAGCTCCTGGCATGCTACCATTCAACTTGAATATAGTTACAGTGATGTTGACTTCATTATTAATCTGTAAGCTGTTTTCTGTATTGTGCACTCTCTGCATGTGTGATAGAGCTCATAATAACCCAAAAGCAAGCAAGGTTCACTGTCATGCCATGCATTATGTTCCTATATTGGATTTTAGGTGGGGTGTTTTTTGTTGTTGTTTGGTTGCTTGTAAGGAACAGAAAGCAAGCATTCTTTAACAAGTACATGGGAAAGTTCTGGAAAGGTAAACAATCTATTGGCTATGCAAATGGTATTTTGTATCTAGGAAAAGAAGGTGAGGTACTTTTATATTCCTTAAATTTCTTACAGTATACTTATTTTACAACATAGATTATTTAGTCTAGTGATTCACTATTTGATCCTGGAGAAGGGTTGTGTTGAGGAGAGGAGGGATGAGAGGTTTCATTTTCAGTCTCTACCCACATAGTCCTTTCTTATGCTCCTGCCCACCCAGCATCTCAGATTTGGCTATATACCTCTGATTGGGTGCATTTCTTTCCACCCAAGTTACACTTATGGAGCAAATGAGTGATGGAGTGTGAAATACGTGGGGCCCACAGAACTAGGCCAACACAAGTTTTAAAATATTAGCTAGGCATTTTATGTACTTTGTGTAATGAAGTAAGATATAGAAATAATTCTGTCTACCCTTCAACTTCTGTTCATTAATAAAAACAAAAATTGCCTGTCTTAAGAAATGTAATTTAAAAGAAAGAAATTTTTAAAAAGGGAATTAATTTTTTTAAATATAGAAAAACATGTTTTATTAAAAGCCAGATTAATACTTAAACAGCCTCAGATATCCATTCTGATATGAAACAACTTCTATCAGTTCAGTGGCACAACTCTTTAAATTTTCAGTAGCAAAATGTATTCCATGAATGTTTCATCCTTTGTGTTGAAATCTATTTATCTGATCTAATGAAAGGTGGGCATTTCCCAAGGCCCAATTCAAAGCTAAATTTGTATCTTTTTCAGTATCTTTTAGCATTTTTTTTCAGTAGAGTTGACCCTCACACTGAGTTTATTAGCACAAAAGTAAATTTACAACAGATTGGGGACTGTTCTGTATTATATCTAAATTTTTGATGTAAAGGTTATAGTAACAGAATTTTAAACTCTCAAATTCAAAGCAATCATTTTTATTCATGATGATGCCTTTGCTTATGTGGATGCATTGTTTTTGAAGCAGAAATTGTTTCAACAAGAAAAATAAGTTTCTTTCATAAAGATGAGTATGTTGGTAGGACTTGATATTGATTCCTAGTTCTTTAACTTAATAGTGAAATGGAAACTAATGCATTGGTGTTCTCTTGTTTGATACATAAACTCTATAATGTAGTTATTTGCTGTATTTTACTTTGAATGAAAATACTTTCTGTAATAGAGACTTATCTATAAATAAAACAATTTTGCTCTGAGAAGTAATCTCTGCTTTTCAGTAGAAATGAATTAAAAAGAACATTTGGAGAAAAATACTTCCTGAATTAATGGTTTGTCTGGTTTCATTTGAAATTAATGTCTCTGGCCACTATTTTTCTTTCTACTTTACAGGTTGGTTTGGCTTCAGTTCAGGAATTACAGCAGCATCTCTTGCTTAAGGACAAAATTATTTCAAAATCTTGGAAAGCTTTAATAAACTTGATTCAAGGGAAAGACGATGGTGCCTCAAGTATAGACGAGGTAAAATTAATCATGTGGCTATTTTACCTTTTTTATGAATTGAAAATTTACAAACCGTTGAAGAGATATTTCTATTGGAGAATAGTAGAAAATGCTGCTTGGTAGATCAAGAATAAAAGTGACAGGGAATTTGATAGTGGACTTTTATGATACTGAAAAAATATTTGATTTAGGGAGCCAGTATTTTACCAATTTATATATAATTCTATAGGAGATTAAATCTCAATTAAACACCAGTAACCTTGAGAAATAAGCCAATAAGTTTAAAAATTAAACTTATTTGTATGATTTGGATAGACATTACTCCTAACTAAATGATGTATTTCCTGAATTTGTGAGTGGAATATACTGAGCATTATTTAACCTTGTATTGGTGATGACATAATTTTATCATTAGTATGCTAATTGTTCTTTTAATCAGTCACCTTGTTCATGTCTAAAGGTACTTATTCCTTCAGTAAATGTCCCTAAATTGTTAGTTTTCTAAGTCCTTCTATCTGCATTTTATAAATTTGCTCTCTTTTTCCTTGTGGCTGACTACCTTAAGAATCTCTTCATTTCAGTTACTTATGCCACTAGAGTAATAAAGAAAGGAAGCAAAAACTGTTCAGACTTCATAAAAAATATATATGGAAAAAGACCAGATTAGCAAAGTTACAAATAAATGAAGAAAATCTGAACATAGAGAAACTTCCTCTTGCATTTTATTTTCTCAAATCACTTTAGTGCCTAGTTCTGACGTCCTGTAAATTGGCTAGTAATTGGTCTATGCCTTGTGTCTATATTTCAGTCTTAGCAATGTGAGGGGTTTGGTCCAAAATAGGATCCTACTGATGAAGAAGCATAAAACCCCACGTACTGTCGCATTTGCACATTGCTGTTCTAATTTCCTGGGAGATCTCACGAAAGTCAGTTGTTAAAGTGATGTCTTCCCATTCCCTTCCCCATATTACGTCAGTCCTTTCATTAGTATTAGAAAAGAAAAAGAATGTTCAGAAATTAACATATTGAACCCACTATGTGCAATGCCCTGTTTTGGGCCCTTTACATTGTTAATTATAAAAACAAGCCTGGCAGGTAGTAACAATTTCCTCAGGTTTCAGATGAATAGCCTGCCTCAGATCTCACAGCTACCGGCAGAATCGTCAGATTCCTAGGAACATGTTAGTCCTCTATTGTGTAAGTACCCCTATCTTTTTTAAGTAATTAGTACATGGAGAGGTAGTTAGAGTAATGGTTAAGTTAGGGCATGGGTTCTGGAAGCAGTCTGCTTCAGTTGAAACCCAGCTCTGCCACTTGCTAGCTGTGTGACCTTGGGCAAGTTACTTAACCTCCCTGTGCCTCATTTTCCTTGTTGGTAAGATGTAGATGATAATACAACCAAGTTAGGGTACTAAGGCTATTGTGAGAGTTAAATGAGTTTTCGCGTGAGCAGCATTTAGAATAGTGCTTGACATAAAGTAAGCACTCAATTCATACTACATATTTTATTACCTCTCCTCCTCCTCCTCCTATTGCTGTGTTCTCTATTATAAGTTGTATGTGTGTGGAAATGGCTGAGTATGGCCTTGGACTTCAAGAATAAAATTTTACCCAAACTTACAAGCAGTCCAAAGATAGTTTAATTAGATTTATTAATGAAAACCACTTGGTGCAAGTCTGATAAAATGCAGACTAGATTGTTTTCAGTATACCTGGGGCACATTTTGTCAGGCTGTTTTTTAAATGGACCCAGGTTTACATCCTTGCTGGCTCTGTGTCATCTTGTACTCGTCATGGCTTGCTTCTTAATCTCATAGATAGTTAATTATGTATGTTTCTTAGATTTTATTTTGGTAAATTATGTGTAGAATCCATAGCATAACATATACTTGATTTAAAAATATTTAGGCCAAAAAGCCTGACCAAAAGCTGATTTACATTATTTTAGTTTTGCTACATTTGGTACGTTTTTGTAATCAGTTTTTGGAACATGTTTTCTATAAGGAATGTCTTGTTCCTTTTTGTGGAGATGAAGAAACTTGTGTCCATACTTGTGATGAAAAGTTGCCAGATACTTTTCAAGATTCAGAACAGCTAGTAGAGAAGATATGGTATCGTGTGATGGATGATAAGTTAGTTGTCGGAGTGAAAACCACATCTTCTCTGAAGCTGTAAGTAACTACTAACATGCTGACGCTATGCTGATGCTCTGGACCAATACTGTCCAATTGAAACTCATGCCAACCACATGGCAAAATTTAAATGCCCTCGTAGCCATATTAAAAGTGGAAATGGAAGCAAATAAATTCATTTTAATGTTTTATTTAACCCAGTATATCCGAGACATTATCATTTCAGCATGTAACCAATATAAAAATTATTAATGAGATTTTTGGATTTATTCTTTCATACTATTTTTAAAGTTTGGTTTCTAATTTACATCTATAACATGTTGCAGCTCACACTAGTCACGTTTCTAGTGCTCAGTAGCCATATGTGTCTTGATCAGTAGAGGTCTACAAGTATCTTTTATACAAATGTGTTGAGTTAATATGAGAGGGTGACATTTATGAAATCAAGATGTGATGGTCTCAGTGTGGAGATAATTAAAAGGCACACAGAACTACCAAAATCATTTAGAAATGTTAGGAACATTTAGAGACTGTTAGCTAACATGGATTGGTGAAAGTTTAGTTAAGTAACAAAGTCCCTCGCTGATAATAGAGGACTTTATCTCTTGGGCTATTGAAATCATTGGTAGGGCAGTAGTATCTATGCTGTCTGTTTCCCGCCAGACAGCATTTTACCCAAACAGGTTAACTACAGGTATTACAATACCACATTTGAACCTCAAGCGTACAAGCAGAGATAGACCATGTAGTGTCTTTAATAGGTGGAGAGATACTGGCAGCATATTTGAGCAGCTTAACAAAGGAATTCAGACTACTTGTCTCGTGGATTTGAGGTACACACTTACTCTTTTGTTTCAGTGAATTTCTTTTCTTTTTTTTGAGACAGGGTCTTGCTATATAGCCCAGAGATTGGTGCTTAGACCTCACTTTGTAGGTCAGACAGGCCTCGAGCTTGCAGTTCTCCTGCCTTATCCTCCCTAGTTCTGGGATTACAGGTATTTGCTAACATGCCTGACTTGTTTCTGTGAATTTCTAAGGTATTTTGGGCTGATTGATCATAGGGTTTTTTCTTTCTCTTTTGGTGGCACTGGGGTTTGAACTTGACTTTGTGCTTGCAAAGCAGGCATTCACAAAGCAGGCACTCTACTATTTGAGCCACACCTTTAGTCCATTTTTCTCTTGTTATTTTGCAGATGGGGGTCTTATGAATTGTTTGTCCAAGATTACCCTGAGCTGCAATCCTTCTGATCTCAGCCTCTCAAGTAGCTAGGATTACAGGTGTGAGTCACTGGTGCCTGGTTTGTCTTTTGTCTTTTATTTTGGCAGTACTGAGGATTGGACCTAGGGCCTCATACTTGTCTTTTTCTTTAATGTGGTGAATTATATTAATCAATTTTATATTATAAAACCAGTCTTGCATTCCTGAGTCTCACAAACCTAGATTCATTATATCATTTTGGTACATTGATGAATTTGGTTTGCTAACATTTGGTCAAGAGTATTTGCATTTATATTTATGAGTGAAATTGATTTGAAATTTTTCTGAATGATACTTCCTTGTTTCCAGTACCAAGGATATACTAGTTTGTTTGTTTATTTATTCATTCGAGTCAAGTCTCAGTAGATTGCCCAGTCTGACTGGAACTCCTGGGCTCAAGTCATCTTCCTACTTCAGCCTCTCGAGTAGCTGGGATTATGGAGGTATACCACTGTACCCAGTTTATAATATCTTATAAATGAGTTGAAGACTATTTCCTTTTTTCCTGTTCTCTGGAAGTTTTTATAAATTCAGATTTATCTGTGCTTTGACATTTGATTGTACTGACCTGGAAAGTAGTGAAAACCTGGTATTTTCTTCGTGAGATGATTTTTAACCACTGATCAATTTCCTTAAGAGTTGTAAGATTATTCAGATTTTATTTATTCTCAAATGCACGTTGCTTCCTATTTCCAGAAATTTAAGTCACATTTATTAGTTTAAGCTATTTCTAAAATACTCTTAGATATTTGTCAACTGTAGTTAGTAATTCTTTTTTCATTCCAAACTTTTTGTCTCTTTTTTTCTTGAATAAGTTTGCCAAAAAAATTTCATTAGTCTTTGAGTAATTTAGCCATATATCTTATTAGCCTTTCCAATAATTTTTATGTTGATCACTTGTATTTCCTGTTTAAGTTTTGATCCTTTATTATTTCTTTCTACTTTCATCAGGCTTATTCTGTTACGCTTTTTCTTTTGCATCATGATGTGATTAGATTCAAGTTTCTTTTCTATTCTGCTTTAGATTGTTGAACTTTCTGGCTCTGAGAATTGATTTTTTGGTATTGCAGGAAATTCTCAATTATTATTTCTTTGCATATTTATGTTTCTGATTTTCTCTAACATTTATCTCTGTATGGAATTCCACATAGTCCAGAAAGTCCTGTTAAGCCTGTTCATTCTGTTCTCTCTTAACCTCTTGTTCATAGTCTCTCTTCATATCTTGTTGAATCCTAGAAGTTTTTTCTGATCTGTGTTCTAGTCGCTAATTGATCTTCATTTCTATTCAGCTATTTAAGCAGTTATTGAGTTTCTAATTTTTATTATTATTTATGGTTATTTTAAGTTCTATTTGCCCTTTTTCAGACCTGCCTGGTCATTTTTTTATTGTCTCGTACTTTCCACTTATCTCTTATTTCCTTAATATGCTAAACAGAACTACTTAAAAATTTTTTTATACATAGAAATTTTCAAACATACCAAGAGAACCGTATGTTGAGTCCCATTTGGTCATCACTGAATTCTCATAATTTTCAACTCATTGCTAATCTTGTTTCATATGTACCTCCATTCACTCCTTACCCCCACCCCCAGATTATTTTGAAGCAAAGACATCATATTATTTTTATCTGTAACTATTCCAGTATATGTGTCTGAAAACAAGGACTTTCAAAATGTATTTACTTACTTGCCAGAAATTGACTGTAATTCTCCTAGTAAATGTTTATATTTCCTACTTTTTGCAATTTCAAAACAATGCTTTTAAGTTCTTGGCCAAATAAGATCTATAAATCCAACTTGACTGATAACTCCCTAATAATCTATACATACCCCTTTTGTGTTGTGTGTATGTGTATGTGAATGCATGTATATTTTCTTGTATATTTTGAAGAAAACAAGCACTTCGCCTCATGAAATTCTATAGACTAGATTTTGCTTATCTCATCCTGTGGTATTGCTTAACATGTTTTTCTGTGTTCACTTTTTTCTTTCTTTTTTTTCTTTTTTTTTTGGTTTTGCTTGGGTTTGAACTCAGGGCCTCACAGTTGCAAGGCAGGGGCTCTACCACTTGAGTCACTCCATCAGCCCACAACAAACAAAGCTCTTTTTTTTGGGTACTGGGGTTTAAACTCAGGGCCTCACATTAACATGTTTCTGTTTCCTATATTTCATTTAAATTTCCTATATTTTATTTATATTTCATCTAAAGGCTAGGTAAGATTAATGTCTGATTTTTTTGAGAGAATATGTAGTAGATAATATTGCTTTCTTCCATCAGAAGGCATATAAAGTCTAATAAATGATAATTTTATTATTGCTTGCTTTATTTATTAGCTAAATACTTTTATAAAGAGAAACTTTTTTTCATCAGTTACTTTGTTACACCCTCAAATATAGTGTGTGATTTAGAAACCAAAGTTTGGACATAGAAGGTGTTCATTTGCCCCTGAGGAAATTGTTGTTTCTAGGCCTTTTTAGTGGGCAGAAATAGGAGATATTTTTGTTTAATTATGATTTTGTGTCTTTAGTGATAAAATACAACATAAACCCATGTTGATATTTCCAGCTCAGTTCAAGGACTTCAGGGTCTTATCACCACCAATCTTGTATCTGTGTCTTCTTTCTCCCTTGCTGAAAATTCCTGTTCATAGTTGCATCAACTCATTTTGCTTCATTCCACAATCTGTATATAATATTTACAGAAGAACAATATCAACAAACAATATGATTATTAAAAATGAATATTTTTAAGTTCTTAAAATCCTTAGTATAAGTCATAGATACACAGTGAAATTGCTGTGTATTATGTCCCCACTCCAGAGGAGCTAATACAGAAACCTTAAAGCAACAGAGGTTATCATGAGAAGGGGATCAGTAACCAGGGTAAAGATCAGTTAGAGATGAATCAACATGGGTCATAACACATGTACACGAAAGCAATGCTAGGAATATTTCTGTATAGGTATCCTCAACTCAGCTAGCAAAAACGCTTTGTCTTCCTTATTAGGCTTGTCTCTTTTCTTCAACAAAACTAGTGATAAAAGCAGAACAGAACCTGCCTGGAACTGAGGGGAGAAAGGGGAAAAGGGTGGGGGAAGGGGGAAGAGGGTGGGGGAGTGTGGCGGGGGGAGAAATGACCCAAACAATGTATGCACATGTGAATAAAGGAATAAAAATAAATAAATAAAATAAAATAAAAAATAAAGTCCTCTCCTTGATTTTGTTCCCATTCTTATACTGAGGATGTTGACATTGTTAGAATATAGTAAAATAAGCCTTACTATATTTATTAATTGTTAGAAATGTAAATCTAGAAATAATTTCTGAGAGATAAACAATATTTTATATTAAAAAGCAGATTTTATTCCACTCATTTAGGGGAATATAAGATACAGTTTTTACTTTAGAGTATTTTTATTCTAAATTATAAAATAAACTGTTAAAAATGGGTAAAATTAGTATTTTTTTCTTGTTTAAAAGAAGGAGTGGAAAGCTACCCAAAAAATAAAATCTGGGCATTATCTTACCATTTCTTTATCTTAAATTTTATTTTCTGAAAGTCTAGCATCTTTCCAGTGCCTTTGTCTGCCTATTTTTAAGGGAAGTGCTATTATAGGATCTTTAAAATTTTGTTTGGGTTTTACTCTTCACTCTCTGATATATTTTTCATTTGAAAAGATGTTTTCTAAGAAAGGAGAGAATAAAATTTTGTTGTTTGTATAAGTGTTTAATCATCTAGTTGATTTTAAAAATATTTTATATTTATAATAAACCAAACTCTGTATTTTTCACAGATCCATGAATGATGTGACTTTATCACTGTTAGTGGATCGAGCATATAGCTCCATTTTTCGGCTTATTAAATGTGAAAATAAAGTGATTAAGTTGAGTACATATTCTTCCTCAGCAACACACCTGATGCCACATGAAATAGGATCAGAGGCAAAAAGGATCAAGTTGACCCCTCATAGCAATGAAGAGAAAAGCTTTGTTTGTGAAGGACCATCTAAGAAAGAGTGTATACAGATAATTACTGGTGTAACATCTCTTTCACCGCTTTTAATATTCAGTAAATTTTGTTGCATTGTGCTGCTACAACTTAGATTGAGAGAAAATGGTAAGTATCTTGAAGATCGCTGTATTCCATGTGGCAGACTTTTTATAAGTTTGGAAGATCTTTCAAGTGAGAAATACCTACTGACATTTCCAAAGAAGAATCCAATAGGTAATTTTTGTGGGTAGTTTTTAATCATATACTTAACTGAATCAGAACATTTTTAAAAACTGTTTGATAATGAACAATTTTAATGATAGAACTTGTGACATATTTCTTTTGTAGAACACGTAGAAGATCTTTTTGCACATCTTGCAGTGTTGCACAAATCTTGTTTTCAAGTCACATCACCTGGTTCTTCCCTGAATTTAATGAAGGTGTGGCTCTTAGAATACATGAAATGTGAAATAATCAAAGAATTTCCAGAAATGTGCTTTTGTAAACAGCCAAGTAATATCTATGGGACACTTTTCAATTGGAAACAAAGAACACCATTTGAAGGAATTTTAACAATATATTCCAGGTAATGTACATGAAATTAGAATCAGTCAAGAGAAATTGGTGTGTATGAATGTGGTGAACGTATGGCCCAGGAGTGATTGCCATGTGGGTTCTATGCTACTGTAGGACATATACTAGCCATGTCTAGTATAGTGTGAATTGGATGTGTGGCCTCATTTAGAAACTGGAGATACCTGCTTCAATTTTTTTGTGTCTTGTTCTTTCTAAGAGCCTGCTAATTACTTTAATTTCACTTCTCCATAGTGAAATTTAAAAAAACAGGGTGGTGGAGTAGCTCAAGTGGTAGAGCTCCTGCCTAGCAAGTGTGAGGCCAGTACTGCCAAAAAAGTAAGAAAATGTTAGAATGATCTTACTACTCAGCAAAAGAAATTTATTAAGGAAGCAGCATGATTAATGTTAACTGAATCGTTAGAGTACATATATTCGATTGTTGTATTTGGAATTTTATCAGTGATCACTTGCATTTTTGTTTAATTCATGATTATAATGTTTATAAACGAATGTTACTACAGTATTTTGTATGTAACTGCTTTGTGTTGTCCCAATTTTGTAATATTATGTTTGCTTTTTTTTTATTTCAGGAATCAAACAGTTTTATTCCAGTGCCTTCATAATTTTGTGAGAGTTCTCCCTATAAAATGTTTCCTCCAAAATCTAAAAATAGGAAGTGAGGATTTCCTAATTAATCATTTGGCACTGATGTTGGAGCAGGAACTGGCTATCCTTAGTTCTGTTTCTACCTTTGCCTTAGCTGAGGTTGAAAACAACTTTGTGCAGAGGTGTGAAGCAAGCAGTGCCATAACTACTTCACCAGACAGAGAGCACAAAATCCATCTATACAGAAATGAAATTCAGAGAGAGAAGAAAATGTTGAAAATAAACCTAAAAGTGAGTGGTGCCCCTTATAGAGAGATGACTTTGAAATTAACTGAGATTCAGTTGAAATCAGACCTTGTTGCAAAGAAACTGACCCATTTATAATTACAATTTCAATTTGATCATATTCTGAAATGCATTGCCACTTGTTATATGCCTCCTTTGTAAAAATAAAGATTGAGGCTTGTAGTCTATTATAATCTTTGGTTTTGATGCTTGCAGAAAGTAGTATTTCTTATAGAGTAGCAACTCTCATGTGGGGCTGTTTTGCCTGTCTCTGTTCTCATTCCCCCTCTGCAAAAGGCATTTGAAAATGTCTGGATCATGTTTTAGTTGTCAGAATTGAGGGACTGCATGTCATATGGACAATCATAAAAAACTAAGATAAGAAACTAATAACCTGTCTTAGTAACATTGTACGCTGGATAATTCTTTGTTGTGGGGGCTGTCCTGTGCATAGTAGGAGGTTTAGCAGCATCTGTGGCCTCCTCTTCCCTCTAGGAGTGAGTAGGAGGTTATTATGGGCATCTAGTAGGCAGAAGTGGCAAGGATGTTTCTAAACATCCTATGATGCACAGGACAACCCCCTGACCCCACCCAACAAATAATTATCCAGCCCAAAATATCAGTAATTCAGAGGTTTAAAAATCCTGTCTTAGATTTACTATTTAAGTGAAGACAGAAATAATATTTTAATCTAAATCTTTTTTTAAAAACTTAGCTCTTTTCTTTCTCTCTCTCTCTCTCTCTTTTTGCAGTATTGGGGTTTGAACTCAGGGCCCTCATTCTTATTAGGCAGATGCTCTACCACTTGAGCAACATTGCTAAACTATTTATTTTGCTTTAGTTATTTTTCAGGTAGGGTGTTACGTCATTGTCTGGTACTGTGGTTCTCCTACCTTCAACTTCTCACATAGTTGGTCAGGCACAGCATCACCACATCCAACTTATTGATTAAGATGGGGGTCTCACTTAACTTTTGATCAGGCTGGCTTCAAACTGTGATCCAACCAATCTCTGCCTCCCAAGTAGCTAGGATTACAGTCATGAGTCACCCTGTCTGACCAGTCTTTATCTTATATTCTGCTTGTAATACCTTTCATGTAAAAAACAACTTCAAATGAATAACTTTAAGCAAGACAGTCAGGGTTCACAAGTATCCGTAAATTACAAACTCCTCTGGAAACTTAAATGGCAGTGTTTGAGTGAGATCAGTTTTAAAACCCTGATTAATTTAAAAGTTATTAGATAGCTGCTCTAAAATTGCGTAAGTCTTTAGGAATGTGAAAATTTTAGGGCATTTTTTCTGAAAAGTACATCTATTTCAAAAGGCCAACTCTAGGAAGAACTAAAATATAAAATTATAACTAAAATAGCTTAAAGAATATGGTGCTCCTTAGGACTGAGAAATTTAAAAATAAGTGAAAATTCACTTTAGTAAAGAAGTGATTTATAAGAGATTCAGTGAGAAAACTTTCAAAGGGATAAAAAATTCAACCTAGTCCTTTTTGAAAAGAAAGAATTCCGGACTAATAACAGAGTGTCAGGAGAGGGAAAAGGACAAAAAGGATATAGGCAAAAAGAAATGTTCCTGATCCTTCTTACTCTAAAATCCCTAAGTAAGATGGAAGTTTCCATCTCAGTCGAAAGAAATGAAGTTGATTACAGAAAATGGCATCTCAGGCTTGCAGCTAAGTAGTGCTAGTTTCCCCCATGCCTTAGAAGTGCTTGTACCTAATATCTGGTGATATAAGTGGTTCTTAGAGACTATAGGTTATTAGTTTCTTGTCTTGTTTTTTATGATGGTCCATATAATATGCTACCTCTTTTTCTAGCAATCTGTTGCCAATTGAGGTAGAACTCTACAACTTTATATCTATAAAATGTCAATGGGCAATATTACAGACTTTCTTCAAATGGAAATAGAGTATATTCTGGATTACTTGTAAAAATCTGGAAACCGTGTGTGCCACATGCTGTCTTTTGAAACTGCCCATGACATGTTCTGAACGAACAACCAAGTATAAATATAGTAACTAAATTGTAAAATGGACGTTGTCAACTGACTAAGCATGATTTAATTGTAATAGTTTATAAGGGGAGTTAGGATACAAAAATTGTTGGCACATTACTGACTTTTTATTTATAAATACAACCACAACTGAAAGTGTTTATATAAGTCATATAATGTATTTGCAAGTGAGTTTTTTACAGCATGTTTTCCCTATTTACTACAAACTAGAAAAACCTAAGTTTGAGGAAAAGACAGTCACCACTTTTATGATTCAGTTGTCAGTATCAGCAAGTAAATTCCAGTGACCACTGTCCTGGTCACAAGTTCAAGGTTCCCCTAAAAAACACAGTCCTCCCAAATCCACACTACTAAATTGAAAACAAGTTTTGTTTGGGAACAGAGCACTATCTGTTGGTCCCTGACCTCTTGACCCTTAACTAAGGAATATGTTCATACCAGCTTAAGATGTGACGCTGTTCAGTTCAGTGATCAGGTTTAGTGAAATAGAAATAACATTTATTGTCTGTGCAAGCTATATGGCAAACAGTAACCTCAAAACACACAGACATACACATTCATATGTATATCTGTACATATGGTTAACTTTTCACAGAAACTCATGAAGTATAGTTATTAATGTTCACAACAAGAAAAAAAAGTTAAACCAAACTAAGGAAATCCACAAAAACAACTTGTAAATTTTACACTAGCAGATACTTTAAGAATTCTAATAAATGTAAGGGGATATTTTATTATCCTGACAGCATCTCTTTATACCATTTAGAATTGGGTACATTTTTCCCAGTCCCAGAAAGGAAAAGAAATTAACTTGTATCTTTACCTCTTCTCCCCAATAAAAATAAAAAATTGAACTGTTTATGACAGAAACCAATGTAAAGCTTTCCCTTCCTTCTTCTCTCCCTCCTTCCCTTCCTTCCTTTTTTTTCCCTTCTCTTCTCTTCCTCTTGGACAATACCAGATATTGAGAGGAATTCTTTTTCGTCCTTGTCCTCTAAATTACAGAAACATTACTCCCTATTCTCAGAATTTGGGAGTGAATGCTCTTTCTTGAGCAACCCCATCAGAAGAATTTGAAGCTTTTTCCTCCAAAGGCAGTGTTGTCCAATGGAAAAAATTCTGACACATAAGCAGTATACTTAATTGAATTCTTCAAGGGTTTGTTCTGTTTTCCATTTTTGGGTTATCTATATCTGTTACTTGAGTTGGTTAAGGCCTTAGCAAAATAGCCTATAAAATCCTTTTGTGGTGAGTAGTCTTTTAATGTGAATAGTCTGGTTACTTTTTTTAAGACTGAATTTTATTTGTACTTAATTATTGATAAATACAAAGTACCTATAGTTTTTATTGGAATATTACAGAAAGGGCCTTTGTTTATCATCTATATGTGTTTTACTTTTTAAATGCTCATAACATTCTCCATTAAAATGAAAGTTATCTGCCTTCAGTCCTTAGTCTGGTCACAGTTTAGGTACTTATTTCAATAATCCTGTCTTGCTTTTTATTGAGTTGGATGCCAGATCAAATTTAGGTACTGAACTCTTATAAGGGCAGTAAATCAAGCACATACAGTGCACTTATAAGCAGCTGTGCTGGATAAAAGTACCTGTGTATGTAACTGTGGTTCAACATCATGGTCTTGGGTTTATGTAGGAAGTTTCTTAACCGTCCTTAACTTCATGTTTAAAATATAGGTGGTGTTATGGTCAGTAAAATGTGCCATTAGTAATTGGTGAAGACATTTAGCACCAGGTACCAGGTCATTCAGGAGGTAGAAGTACGGTGCGCTTTGTTGTTTTTCCAAATCAATTTCCTTCTTTTTTATACCAGAGCTTTCATTTTGTTTAGGAAAATTTCCCACTTCATGTGATTAGGGAGGTGAATCTCATCTCCAGTTCCAGAGGTTAGTCCTCACTCTTTCTAAGCTAATAAATGTGAGATCTTTCCTTGGCAGCCATTACTGCTCTGGGGCCTGTACAAGACCACCGAATTGGGCCTCATTAGACTGAAAGAAAGAACTTGGCTCTTTGTCAAGAAAAAAAGACTCTCTATGTCCTACTGGTCACCCTAAATTTAAAAAGTTGAGATTTATCTTATAATGACAAAGATATTAAGCCTTACAATGAATTTGAAAGTAGACTACAACATTTTTATTTTTGTGCCTCTGAATAAAAACTAAATTCTACTCTTTCCCTGGAATGCTAGTTACTTGAGAAAAAAATTCCTTGTAACAGAAATGAAAGATTTTGTTACTTGCAGATGTAATTGCCTATAACTGCTTGCTATGATAACAGTATATACTTTTTAATAAAAGCTTCATTTTCTGTTATTTATATTCTTTTCTCTATTTTTGTTTAGTGGTATTGATAGGCAGGTGCTCTACTACTTGAGCCACACCCCCAGGCCTCTAAGTTTTTGTTTCTTTTGAGACAAAATCTTGCTATGTAGCTCAGGCTTGTTTAGAACTCACGTTCCTCCTGCCTCAGCCTGCCAAGTGCTGGGATTCCAGGCATATACCACCACACTTGCCCCTTAGCTTCCCTCTGGTATTACACTAGGACAGTAGTTTTCTTTTGCCTTTCTCATTGGGTTAGAGATGTATGTCAGATTACTTAACCTATTTCTCAGTATTTCCTTTTTTAAAATATAAAATTATAAATACAAGGACCATATGTCTAGTGCTTCTTAGATATTTGAAGAATTCAGACTCATTTCTTATGACAACTGTTCCAATATTCTCAGCTATATCCTTTCCAATATGAAGATGAAGAAATCTTTGCCAATTTTTATTGTTCTAGGAGGTTCTGTACTAGAAAAAACTGACTTGGTACATAGGACTCTTAGGGAAATAGAGCGATACTGCTATATCAAAAGAGAGGCACCGCATTATTAATTTAGAGCTCATAGCCTTTTCAAAGATATGAGCCATGTACTAGGGAGTGAAAGAACCCTTTCTAATCCTGCCATAAAAACAAGGTGATGGTAATTTTGGGGTGGTTTTTGTGAGCTTGATGAGATGTTTTAAGGTTTAGAATGACTGAGTAATTTGGTTATGTCAAGTGCTATAATGATA